GAAAACGTAGCAGAATTTTTATTTTCCTTTGATATATTTATGTATTCATTTATTTATCTATCTTATTTTTTACTGATTTCTAGATATATTTTGACGAATTCCAACTGAAAGTCTGCTATTTCCAATTTCTAAATAGGTTATTCAAAGCATATTGTTTAATCGCTGTACTAAATTGGCAAAAGTTCCCTTCCAAAAGCAAAGCAAAGTATTAAGAAACAGGAAAATTTCGTTTTCTGTATCTTATCAAACCTTTGCAGGTTATTTAAAGTCAGAAAATATTTTTAGATTGTAAGGATTCATTTTTTTGAGATAGTAATGATTTAGTGATACAAATCTTACTAAGTAACCCATAATTAGTAGGGAGAAGAGGTGGATTCATGCCTTTCCCGAGGTTATTTGTGCGTAAGTGAATATAGCGAATACCAACTGAAATTGGACCTCGGCTCTCCGATTAACAATTCCGAGCCATTATCCATTACACCACCCTCATATCCAAGCACATACCAGCTACGAACTGAAGACAACAGAATCTAGTAGATACAGAAATTTAACTATTTGGATAGTGTAATAACAGACAACGGAAAATCCACATCCGAGCTTATAGCACCTGTCATTCCCTAGTGGTCACCCATCTAGGTACTGACGTTGCTTAACTTCAATGTCATATGGCCATAAGCCTATATACAGAATAACATAGGAAAATTTTTCTACCCAAACCGCCATATTCTCTTGGCCTTGCACCAAATGATTATGGCCTTTTTCGATTATGGACTTTTTCGATTATGGCCTTTTTCAATCGATGTGAAGCGCTTTGATGAAGACAACTTTCTAGAAGGAAAACCAGATTGAAGAGTTCGTCAAAAAATGTTCACATGAAAATCTGCAGAATTTTACTTAAAACGTATCAAAGAGAAGGGTTTATTTGCTTGTTTAGCGGCATATCAACTCCTTATGCCGACATTTAATTTTCTTGGGTACATTAGTAATTTCATTTACAAAAATGTATTGCCGGTAATTTTTACTATGAAAATGTATTTTTATATTTTCATAGTGTTTTGACTCCAGTTTGGGGGTTAATTATTTGCCCATAGTTAGGACCCTAACAGGCACTACAACCCTCGGTTAGGATGGACCTAGAAACAACAGCAATTAAAAAGTGGTTCTACACTCCCTAAAACCTCCCCATCAGAGGCCTTGCTGTCAGATGTAGTTGTCATACCCAGGACAGGGGCATGGAAATGCCGCCTGAATAGTTATAGTAAATCATTGTAAATAATGGTAAATATATAACTAAATAAAAGGTAATCATAGTTCATTTTCTGAAGAATAGATTCAAAGGCTTTCCTACCGCCCGGTTCACACTCCTCCCCCTTCTCTTGGACATGAGTAGAGGCTTACGCCTTGTTTCTTGTTTAGGAAGGGGTTTCCGGTACTCTCTCTCTCTCTATCTCACTGGCCTCTGTATCTCCAGTTGCGTTGACCTATCCACTACTCTTCTCCTCATCCTTTCTTCTATCACTCCTATCTGACCTTGCTCCAAATTTTCTGTAACCCCTTGCGTCCTAGTGGCTTTCCGCCTTGCTTGGGGTGAAACGCTTAAAAAAATAAATAAATAAATAAACAAAAATTGGAAATTACTTATGACTCAACTGAATCTGTATAGTAAGATGAAGAGAACGTTTCTTTCCTGCATCGTGTCGTGTTTTGCTTTTCATTATCGATCAAAACATTTGAGAAAATAAAGGAAAATTTATTATAACATAAATATATTTGTGTTTCGTGATACATTACGTAATAAATAATTTAAATAATAAAAGTTACATAAAATTTAATCACGGAATGCTTTCAAATTTATGCATAAATATTTATTTTAAAGCATTTCATAACTTTAGGAACATACACAATTATATATTGACACGATTATTAATTACTACAAACATTGTTAACGGGTAAACGGGTTTGATTAGACATCTCTGTTTTTTGTGTCATTTTCTTAAACAGAGAAAATTAATATCAACCGGAAGCGACCAAGAGCTCCTAGTAAAGAAAAAAATGTATCTCTCGACTGCAACTGAACATATTTTCATTCATGGAATTTTATTTTTAGATTTTAAAATTTTTAATTAATTTTTTTTTTTGGGGGAGATAATAAGGATTTTAATGTTGCAAGTCATACTAAATTAATTCATAAAACACGTCCCTCCGATAAACAATTCCAAGCCATTATCCATTATAGCACCTGTACATCTAAGTTTACAGCACCTGGCATGACCAAGCGGTCATCCTTTTGGATACTAACTAGTCTCGACATTGCTTAACTTCGGTGATCATAAGGGAACGTAAACAGAACCACGCCTTTACTCATAAGACGACTCAACACCTTCATGAAGGTAAGGCTCCCTTATTTACTGAAGGAACGCCAATCTCTTGTTGGGATTTTTCGGATATATATCCATAGGCAGTATTTTCAAACTTGAAACGTAAAAATTTTTTAATGATTTTTTTTTTAAAATCTGATATTTCTAATTACTGTAAACTAGCTACGTCCACTAATTCACAGACAAGAGAACATGCACTGATGAAAAAAAGGGTCCAAACTTAATGAAGACAAAGTTTGTTACTATGAAGCGGAAAGACTAAATTATATTTTTTTTTTTATTAAATTTGGTTAAAAATCTTGTTTTTCTTGTGTCAGCCGATTAGTTTTGTACATATTAGCGTTTTTGGGGCGTTAAAAACACAACGTTTTGGAAATTCTTGCAAAGATCAAATCTGTTGCATTTTAGTGAAATTTTCAGGACTTATTCACAAATGAATTAAATTAATTTTTAATTTTTTTTTTTTTTTTTAGAAAAGTTTGATAAAAATGTTTTTTCCTTATTTTTTTTTACATCTGTTATCCCTTTCTCTTGGTTAATTTTATGAAATTTCGAGAAATTAAAATTCCACTCTCTTCATATTTATATCGGTTAAAAGCAGCAGTCCTGGGAGAATTTAAATCAATTATTTTTTGTCAAACAGAAACACCATTTACCGAACATCTGCTCGTAAAATGAAAAAAAAAACGCAATAAAACTACGACATTATTTAATAAGAAAAGGTTTGACTTGCTTTTATAAATAAGATATATTAAAGAGGCACGGATTGAGGAATCGGAGAGCCGAGTTCGAATTCCAGTGGAATCCATTACATTCACTTACGTGCTAAAAAGGTATGAATCCTCCTCTTCTCACCCAGTAAATAGCAGGACAGGCTTTCGCTGACCACCGAAATAGATGGTAACTGGTCTACCTCAGAAAGAAATGGCAACCTACTGCATGAAAAAAATCTGCCTCGTCAGTACATGATTGCCTAAACGTGTATCACGCATGGCACATAACTGATATGGTATTAAGGATACTATTGTTTAAAAAAAAATTCGATGAATAATTAATTTTTAGAAGAATTTATTTCTTTTTTTAAAACTTTAATTGGGATGATTTAAGTTAATAATTTGCTTTTTAAATCTTAAAATTCTGTATTAATTTCACCTTTTTAGATGATATTTTTTATTATACAAAAAATATATTTAGTAATCATAAATGGAAAAGCTTTGTACAAATCATCAAACAGCAACGTTTTTCAAGGATTTTGAATTTTTGTATGTGTATAAGCGTACCTATTTTTGTAAATACGGATGTTCATACACGATATTATCAGAAAATGAGGGCGATAATTATCGTAAATTTAAAGCTAAAATTTCTAAAACTCAATAAAAAATTAGATTACGAATTTTTAAGATCACTGAGTACTTAAGTAAAAGTTATATATAAAAAGTATTCACGTTATATGCAATTATTTTTACGGCAAAAGCTCACAGAGAACAAGATTAGATAAATATCCATCTGTCATCAATCTGTCAAACACGTCAAAAGCTTAATGCAACAGCTACCGTTGTGTAAAAAAATCATTTCCGAGATATTTTAAACTCGAAGTAAATAATATTTGTTTCAAATTAGATTAATTGTACTTTAAATTTGCTAATATCCTTCAAATAAAATTTCAGATTTAGTATATTTTATTTTTGGAGTTTTTTTTTTTTTAATAAAAAGAATTACATTGCAATAAATCCGAGCTACAAAATGGCGCTAAGATGACTTTTTAGCTAAGATTACTTTCAGTTAATTTAAATTAGTTTTGAAATAGAACAAAGTATTTTGCTTATTGGAAATATTAAATTTAATCTATTGAAATTAGAACTAGAATAAAAGCTTCAAAAAGACGTTTAATTTTTAAAATTCAATTTAAACCTTAACTATTATGAATTAGTGGAGGTATCTACTGTATCAACTGTAAATGTTATTTTAATGGATACACGTATTTGATTCAGCATCCGTTTTTTAATTTTTTTTAATTAGTGAAATTAATGTCACCCTGCTAAGACCGAGAAGTACTACTAAAGAAAAATGTACCTCCAAAAAGGAATGGAACTTGCATGTCTTTTTGTCTGCTCACACAAAAAAGCTGACTTAAGCGTGTGTACACTGATGGAAAATAGAGTTACAATTTGAAAGTTGCGGTTTTACCTGATAAATAATGACACAAAATATAATTTTTTCTAAATTGTTTAAAGATCAAGTTTAGGTTCAAAATCGTAGTATTGGAATTTTATTCTGGTGGTCAGCGAAAGCCATATAGCATAGCCTTATAAAATTTATAATTTACTGAAGCTTTACAAAATGTTTATGGACAAGAAACAAAGAACAAACACATTATTACTAAATCATTGTGCCATCAAATATAACCTTCTTTTACTTCAAAGGGAAATTGTACTGAAAATATATAAAGCTATATATATGAAAATATATAAAGCTATATTATGATGTAATATAGTGCAGCAGTTTTAGTGTTATTTTCAATAAACAATGCAAATTTAAAACATTTTGGCTTATAATTTGGGCCTAATAGTATTATAATGCTATATAACACATTTATCTGTTTTGTACACTTTATTAAATCACTCCTCCTCCTCCTTTGTCATGACCGAACTGATCATAGAGGAGACATGAACGACTACGATGCAGCCAGCTGCCGTCAATCAAATCTGTTTTCTGCCTCACAAAACAACGGTCCATTCTTTGATGTTGCCTGTGCAGGTTTTTGGACTGCGCCCTCACCCCCCTCGGACTGTTGAGGAGGACCGCACTGCTGGAGGTCTTCTACAAAGCCTCGATGGTTTGGATAAGGTTCTCCACAACGCATTCCCCAGAAACTACTATAGAAAATCATGCCAAACTCTTTCGAAGACCTTCTTGAAATCTATAAAGTTATGGAACACATCCCTCTGATGTTGCAGTTGCTTCTCCATCATAATGCAGTAATTGAAGATCTGCTTCACAGTGCTTCTGTCTGCCCTAAATCCAGCTTGCTCTTCTGATAGATGTTCTTCAGCTTCTTTCCTGAGTCTGTTTAAAATAACTCGTAACACAATTTTACCGGTGTGGCTAATGAGGCTGTAGTTCTGTTACTGGTGAAAGTTTCTTTGGAGAAATGGCGATGGTGAGCGATTGAGTCCATTCTATTTATTATGATCTAAAAAGGATCTAACAAATCTTATTCATTGAGTAACCTTTTTTGTAATCTTTTACATTTTTTACACTGTTTTTTATTTATCGAATACAGTAAAAAATTGCATATTTTGCTTGTGATGATTCATAATTAGAATTCTGGTTTGAATATATTTTCCATTCAATGTATCTAATACAAAAATATCAAGTTTATTTGGATTTATTCTAGAAATAGTAAAATTTTGAAGTCCGTCTGTAAGCAAAATCCTTCGGAAATTAGATGTTTCTGTACAGTTTTCAGATTATTTGAAACCTAAATGCTCAAAAATTAATAAAGTTTATGAATCTAATTTTTGTGGTCAGTACTTATCACATAAAAGTCCAGCATTCTCATTGAGTGCAATGTTGATTTTCTAAAAAAAATGGGAAAAACCAACCTGACCTCCTGAGTGCATTTAATATTAATTCTTTTCAACCGCTATTCTCTGTTCATTTCCCTTCATCTCCTATACTGAGGTATTTGAAGTTTCGTATTTACTAAATCCACATACTGAATTTTTTTATGATAGATTCAGGGTACATGCCATCAATGCTTTCGTTCCAATAGAAGATGAGGATTTTATGTCCAAGATCATTCTTATCCCACCTATGTCATCAGCATAGCCACCCGGTGATCCATATAGACGTAATTACACACTTTGTAAGATAAGTCTATGAAGCATTAAAGAGAATTCATTGAAAAGGACTAATGTGCTATTTCCCTAGGTAGGCTTCTTTTTTCGTCTTTTTTTTTTTTTTAAGAACATGACTCTATTTCTTAGGTTAATGATTTGGTTTTGTAGCAGTTTGCGATGTTGGGCAAAACTATCCCAAGCACAGCCTATTCTCTGTTCAATTTCCTTATGTCTGCTGCTAAACTTGTTATAACTGATCCATACACTGAGGTATTTGAAGTGTTTGGTATTTACTAATTCCATGTTCTGATTTTTTTTTCTGATGTATTCAGGCTATATGCAATTCGTCCAATTCCAGATCATTTTTTTATCTTGGAAAATTTATTTTAAATCCTATTTCTTGAAATCCTTGGTTCAGGATCATTCTTTTCCCAACTATGAATACCTATACCATCGGCATAGCCCCCGTCATCATCAGTACATTTGCCTCGGGAAGGAAAGCCGGATCTTCTATTAGTTGATTCGTTTAGTATGCGGTATGGAATGCTTAAACGATCAGTACATATCACCTTACACCTATGCTTGTAAATGGGCAGGGCATAGTTTAGAAATAGATTAAATAGACTGATGCTCTCATTTCCTCATTATCGTACTCCAGATGAAGTTTGAAATGTTTCCCCATTGAAGTTCCCTCCTGACATTCTAAGATTCTGTGGACCGACACATTCACTGGAATCGGAACTTGGAAGGCGGTTTCTAAACGTAACATATCAGGTCATCCCATAAGTTCTGTCCGAATTTTGAATAAAGAAAACAAGTGACCAAATGTTACATTTAATTACAGATTCAATCAACAATGTATTTTCCCTGATTATCTATGACTTCCTTCCATCTATTAACAAGCTTACTAATTCCATTAGTGTAAAATTCTTTTGGCTTTGATTCGAAAAACTCACAAATGTTAGTTTTAACCACTTCCTGTGTTACAAAAGCTGTTTCTTCCAAATGATTCTGTAAGCTACGAAACAAATGGTAGTCTGAAGGTGCAAGATCGGAAGAATAAGGTGGATGAGGAATTTTCTCCCAACCAAGTTCTTCGATCTTTTGTGACGTGATTCTTGCTGTGTGGGGTCGCGCATTGTCCTCAAAGCTTGGTTCAAACGCTCTAATTGCTGACAGTTTATTTGAGCATTAATTGTTGCATTAGGTGGTAAGAATTAAAAGTGGATTATTCCTTGGCGATCCCACCTGATTGAAAGAAGAACCTTTTGCCCATGAAGTTCCCTTCTCGGCTGTGGCTGGGGTCCTTCCCCTTTACCAAGCCACTGTCTACGACGCTTAACATTTCGATAAAAGATCCATTTTTCGTCGCCAGTCACAAGTCTATCCAAAAAAGGAGAAACAGTTTGACGAGAATGGAGAGAAGAGCAGACGTCAACTTTCAGACAATTCATGAGGCACCCATTTTCCAAGTTTAGGAACTTTTCCAAGTTGTTGAAGATGACGATGAACAGTTGTATGGTTTGAAATGAGAACCACTGCCAATTCCTCAACTGATAAAACGGGATTTTCTTCAAGGGCTGCTTCAAGAAGCTTTTCATCAAACTCAACTGGACGTCCGGTTCGATCTTCATCTTCAAGGGTGAAATCTCCACCTCTGAATTTTGCAAACAATCTTCTGCAAGTTCTTTCATTCACACATTCCTCTCCATAAACTGAGTGAATGTTTCTAGCCGCTTCGGATGCTGAGTTTCCTTTCTTGAACTCATAAAGCATTATGTGCCTCAAATGATTCTTGGGTACTTCCATGTTAGCAGGGTTTTAATCAAACAAAATTTAATTTTATTGTTCTCTGAAATAAAATTTGATCAGTTTAAATGCATCTAAACATAAGAATAATGTTCAGCTCCATTAGACATTATAAAATACTCTTTAAATTTTGTTCATTTTAACAAAAACCTAAAATTCGGACAGAACTTTTGGGATGACCTGATATATAGAGACACATACCTGTTGTGTATAACAGGTGTCAAAAGTACCCAGGACCCATATTAACAAATTATATCCTAGTCGGGCGTTTATTCAAGCTTGCTTTCTCGCCTGCATCATTATAATCTGTCCCATGACCAGATGTGGTTGTAGGGTCGTTTCGTAAGTGAGCAACTAACCATTTCACTCCACATATCTGGGTTAAAAGCTGATATTCGTTCATGTATAGCGTGTCTTGAGAAAGTAGATCTGGCGAAGATCGCCCCATTCAAAGTGTAATTCAATCTCCCGCCCCACAAGACCTCAAGTGAAACTCATATATCTCATATGATTAGTGTATCTAAGTCTCCCTGCTATACTCTATCTTTACAAGAGCCAGATAAGACCAAAAAGGACGTCCTGGGTAAGACGATAAACTACGTCCAACAGCAAGGACTCTGACCAGGAGGTTTTGAGAAGCGTGGAACCACCTCTTAAATGCAGGTGTTCCCAGGTTCACCCTGACCCAGGGTGGTAATACTTGTTAAGGGTCCAGCTATGGGCAAATAGTTAACCACTAAACTGGGATCAAAACACTATGAAAGTGTAAAAATAGGTTTTAATACCAGAAATACTTTTTTGTAAAAAATTATCAAAAATACATTATTACCAGCAATACTTTTTTGAAAAAAAAATATTACCAGTTATACATTTTTGAAAAAAATATTACCAGCAATAGATTTTTGAAGAGAAAAAATATTACTAGCAATATATTTTTGGAAAAAAATATTACCAGAAATAAAAATCTTTTCGGCATTAAATAACCCATTGAGGTTGATATGCCGTAAAACAAAATAAACCAGACCAAACCAAAAAAGAAATATTGATTCTGTATCTGGCATGGAACTGCCCAGTCCTCATTTGCCTGTCTACACGTCCTTGTGGATGATGAATTATTCTCGACCCTACAACCTCTTTCCCATAGACGAAACTTTGCATGCCTCTCGCTGCTCTATCGCTATTTCCATGGCACATGTTCAACAAGCTACATTCCTCAGTCCCACTATCCCTGACCTTTACAACTGGGACTTGCTATGCTATATACACGAGGTTGGATCATCTTTATTCCCTTCATATTCCATTAGTAAGGAGTAAGTTCCACTCTGGCAGATTCTTCCCAAGAACTACGGCGGGATTTTTTTTCCCCCACTCACTAAAATCTTGACCTCTTCAAGTCTAGAGTTAAACATTATCTTTCCTGCATAACCCCATGCACTTCACTCCGGCGTGTAACACCACGCAGTAACCCTCTACCTTGAGGGGTTCTTGAGCCTTGTATTAGGTGAACATTAGTATAAAAGACGTCAAACAGCAACCGATATCCTTGAACATTAAGGCTCGTTCTATGGCCATTGATTCCATCGGAAGATCCTTCCGTCCTGACTGTTCACTTGAGCCCTACGCCCAGCCACGATGTGTCCTTACTGCACTGACGGTATAGATATATATGGAACCCAGCCTCTGGAGAATGTTTCCGATCGTACAGATGACGAATACTCTTCCACAAAACATTATTCCACATCTTTTGCACTTTTGATGTGATTCGGTGACAGTTATAAGAGGGATAACTAAACGTGCCTGGCGTAAACCTATCATGTCTCATTGGCAGGGAACAGGTCAACGATTGTATCAACCAAGGAAGTTGTTGAACCTCTTTTATAGCAGGGTGCATATAACAGTCAGTATATGCGTCTACGTTATCCTGCTGGAACATTGACTTCCGGATGCAGAAAGGAGAGTAGAACAGTTTGAACAATGTTTTGGGGTTGTATTTAGCGCTATTTAGTCTTCTCTCCAAAGACGAGTGAGGGTTGTTGCTTATGGCGCCCACAACAATAATGTTAGGTCTATGTCTTGAGCGAATAT